CCCCCCCCCCCCATTTCTAAGGCCTGGCGCCGCCACTGCTTGTAATTTCATGTGAAATCTTTTCACATGCGAAATTTCGTTGTAATTTGTAATTTCTTGCAAAACCTTTCACATGTGAAATTTCAGTCGTAATTTCATGTGAAATCCTTTCACGTACATGTGAAATTTCACTTTGTAATTTGTAATGTTATGTGAAATCCTTATTTTTTTACATGTGAAATTTCACTTGTAATTTCATGTGAAATCTTTTCACATATGTGAAATTTCATTTGTACATGTAATTTGTAATTTCATGTGAAATAATTTCACATGTGAAATTCAGTCGTAGTTTCATGCGAAATCCTTTCACGTACATGTTGAATTTCACTTTGTAATTTGTAATGTCTTGTGAAATCCATATCTTTTCACATATCTGGAATTTCACTTGTAATTTGTAACGTTCATGTGAAATTCTCTCACATGTGAAATTTGACTTGTAATTTATAATTTCATGTGAACTCTTTCACATGTGAAATTTCACTTGCAATTTCATGTGAAATCTTTTCACATTTGAAATGTCACATATGATTTCATGTGAAATCCTTTCACATGTGGAATGTCACATGTGATTTAATGTGAAATCTTTTCACATGTGAAATGTCACATGTGATTTCATTTGAAATCCTTTCATTTGTGACATTTCAGACGTGATTTCATGTGAAATTATTTGACATGTTAAATTTCACATAAGATCACATAATTTCACATGTTATCACATGATTTCACACAAAATTACGTGTGTGAATTCATGTGGATTTTTTGTAAGGGATTAACGATCAAATAACAGTAATGTGCTCCTGATTTATTCACTGACATTAATGATTGTAGGCGTCATTGATTGCCTGTATCCTTGCGGAAATAACGCAACATGTAATAATGCAGAAGGATCATTTAACTGTTTCTGTAAACAAGGTTTCGAAGGGGATGGATTCAATTGTTCAGGTAAGATTGTGCTAGCCCTACCTAAAGTTTCAATCCAATTAACCTTCCTGAATTAAAAACTCACATCATTTAGATTAGTTTCTATGTAGACTCACCCTTCCCTGTCTTACTGACTTCTCGGTTTATTGTAAATAATTTAAAAGATCTTCAGAAATGTTTCACCGATTTCTCAGTTTAATTAAATTATTAATTAACGATAAATTAACAATAATGTGCTCCTGATTTATTCAACGACACTAATGATTGTAGACGTCATTGATTGTCTATAATATCAATGCGGAAATAACAAAACATGTAATAAAAAAGCATCATTAACTGTTCAGGTAATTAGATTGTGCTAGCCCTTTTTAAAGTTGCATTCCAATCAGTCTTCCTAAATTATTAAAAAAAATACATCAAATAGGTTAGTTTCCTTGCCTTCCCCATTTAAGAGATACGTGCTTTGGGTAATTTTGATATTAGGAAATCAGATCGCCCTAATTTACAAAAATAGCGCCATAAAATCATCTGAAATGTCTTACCGACTTCTCAGTTTAATTCAATTAATTTTAAAATCTTCAGAAATGTTATAAAATCTTATAATATCTACAGAAATATTTTAACAATTCTCAGTTGAAGTTATTTATTTAATTTAATTAATTTAATTAACGACCTATTAAAAATAATGTGCTCCTGATTTATTAACCGATATTAATGATTGCAGACGTCAATGAATGCCTGTCAAATCCATGCGGAAATAACGCAACATGTAATAATACACAGGGATCATTTAACTGTTCCTGTGACCAAGGTTTCGAAGGGGATGGATTGAATTGTTCAGGTAAGATTGTGCTAACCCTTTTTAAGTGTGTAATCCAAACAGTTTTCCGGAATTATTTAAAAAATACATTTTTTTAGGATAGATTATACTTCACAAAATCCGGTCGAAATATATGGGAAAACATGTGGTAAAGCTTGTCTTACCGTGCTCTAACTCACGTTTCAAAGAAAGAAAAGAATGGGTCACATGACCCGGCATATAAATACGCCAATCTCCTTGTACCTAATCGGCTTTTTTCTTCGTGCTTACCACTGAGCTGTATAATAACTGGAGGATCTGCTCCTATACTTCGTTCAGTCAACGAAGTGAAGCCAAAAACATGGCGAATTTTCAAGTAAAATGGCGCCATTTCCATGACAACACTTAATTTATTTTCATGGTAGGTACCACTTACCAGGCTCAATTCTGAGCCCACGGCCGTTTTCACACCCCCATGGTTTTGGCAAAACTGAGTTTTGCAGATAATATAGTTCGCGTGGTTTGATCGGTTTTTAAAATCTTTTCGATATAAATTTTCTACCTTTGACTATTTGGACAAAGACATGCAAGTCGTGCATGTTATTCTCGCCCGTGAAAGACGACAAACAAATTTAAAACGTCATGAAATGTGGGAAAAGACGAGGATTTAATACAAAGGTCAGAGACAAATTTTCATATTTCAATTTTTTTATATTTAGACTTTACCTTTATATTTAACATGATAAGCATAACGATGAAACTGGCACTCGATTTGTTAATAAAACAGCTTCCTATGCAATACACATGGTAAAGTGTAAAATTACTCACTATTTTAGCAAGCTCTTCAAGCTGTGATTCGACACAACCACATATACGAGGGACTGTCCTGCAGTGTATTAATAATGTTTAAAAGCCTTAAAAGGTTGACTCCTGAGGTCTCGTGTTTTGTAAACAGACATTAACTATGATGATGTGCTTTCTTTCATATTGAAAAAGGGAATTAGGTTTTGTAATATGTACCATTTAATAGCTGAGGGTGCTGAAAACTGATCTAGGAAGGTAGTTTCCAGTATTTCTACCTAGTTTTCTCCATGGTTGGGGACGATTCTTCTCTATTTTGTGTTAATAATAGTAATATAGAGGCTTCAGATAAATCACACTTTTCCCTAAGGCGAGGTAACAAGGTTTAGCTGAGGTGTGTGCCAAGGCCTCATTCCCAGGATAGCCTGTTTTCTTACAAGTTTTCTCAGTAAATATAAGTGCACTTAATATAGTTCTGATTCCCCTGGTTTAAGCTGAATCTATTTTCATATGCTAATTATGTTACTGGTGAATTTTGTACAACTTAGATAATTATTCTGCTCTTGTTTATTTCAGAATTATTCCACAATGACACACTGCTTTCTGGGTGGCAAGTTACAGTACCAAGCCACAAATATCTTTGGAAACTCAACATACTGTATTTTAATACATGCTTCCAGAAATTATGTCACATTGGCTATAGTGGAGTCTCATTTTCACGATTGAGACAATGGACTTTAATTCATGCCACATACATGCAAATGAGGCTCCATAGCCAAGGTGAAATACATTCCGGAAGGGTGTATTTGACTTTTTTGTAAAATTATTAGCAGTAAACAATTTGAAAAACAAAAATGTATGGTAAATTTATTTTAATTGCTATAAAATTTATTTACACTTCAATAAAGTTATCATAATCATATAATTATTTATGTTGTTATGCATGGTATTGCATGTTGATCCCTCAGTGCCATCTCTTGTGTATATTAAACATATAATTTCTGCAAAATAAAAGATGACATTATTATCATTAGATACATTATACATCTTTACATCATAAAAATATCATATACACATATGTTAACCCTTTACATGATCTGTTTTTACGAAGACCATTGATCCGAGCTTCAACATTAAGTGTCATGTTTCGGCAATGCAATTACATTCCTAACTAACTGCTAAAATATGTCAAACCATTATGAGCATATTTCATCATAATTTCTCACAGACTGTGTCATGGCCAATCGGACATCACTACTCCCAATGTTAGAAATTATGGGCGGCTTTACTTGGGGGGGGGGGGTTAAACCCCTCTAATGAAGTGTTCAACCCCACCAAAATCAGTGCTTCAACCCTCCTATTTTGTGTGAAAGGCCAACAACTCAAACACCTAATCCCTGCCAAAGTTCACTGAGTGGTGAAATAAATAAAAATCCGCCCTTGTTAGAAATGTGGCATTACGAATTTACCTCGTGCTTAATCCCCGAGCCGGTGGCGCGAAGCGCCGTGGGAGTGTACTAATTCCCCCCGGCTATTTACACCCGGGGAAACGAAAGCATTAGCCAAGTCTAAAGTTCATCAAATATCGCGGGCGTGGGTCACCAACGGTGTTTGGTTGGTAGTCATCCTCACTGATCTCAAAAAGATGGCGGACTGTCATGGATAGCGAACACTGATTGGTCAAATTTAAAATTTGTTGTTGTATGACAAATCACGACTTCAACTGACAGATACTTCATGAAAATAATTTGCATTTTGCACTACAGTATTTTGTACGTTTGCAAAAAACTTTGACAGCTTTCAAAGCAATTTGCTCTATAAAGAGTTTAATAAAACAATTATGGTATCAAATACCAATTGAAAAGATATGGACTACTGTATGGAGCCAAATGAAGAGCGGCAAGGAAACGGCAAGAAAGCCGAACGTCTAGCGAAAATGAGGGAGCAAAGACGACAACGTTTGCTCGAGAAGACTGCTGAGGAAAGAGAAGTTCGCCTGGGAAAGCGTAGAGAAGCATGGAAAGAAAAACTGCTGAAGCGAAAGGTAATAAAAGGCTTGTCTTTACAACGCTATGTACCAATGATACTGTAGCTATACAAGTTGAAGTATAATATTCGACCCTCTATATTCGACTATTTCTTCACAATTTTCCAATAAAGAGTTTGTCATGACACGCTCAAGTCAGTATAACCAGACTGTATTTTATTTATATCAGTTATCACAGCCACAGGCAATTTTATGCTGTCAAATACCGTCGGTTGCAACTAAGGGTGAACAGTTGCAGGTCTAGTCTCTAGCCCAACACGTTCAGACCACACAAAGTTTTGTTACTTATTATTGTACACATGGTAAACAACAATTAAGTGTTGTTGTTCTTGACAAACATTGAAAATTCTAATCGCGCGAATGTTTTTATGAGCGACTGTTCATCGTTAGTTGCAAGCGAAGGTACAACATACTATGAACATTTTTCCGACTGTGACCGAATGTGCAACGATATATTTTTCAAAGTTGTTATGAATTCCTAAAATTTGTTTATAGTAAAACGGCCTGCTCAGCACTCACTACTCACGATGATTTCATTTAGAAATGCAGTTACCAGGAAAGGAACCGATTCTAAAATATGTAAATTTAAAAGCATTGGCTAACAGAATGAAGCGATGTGAAGACAAGGTACAAACTTTTATAGTTGCTATTTGTTATAAAATCCTATAAATAAACCGATTCAACAATCATTTTGCCTCGAATTTGCATATTCTATTCTGCATTATTTATTGAGCGTTCTCTGACTTAATATTTATTTCTACGAGCTTTCGGCTATCAGTCTATAGCCTTCGACGGGTGAATACAAATGATTCTATAAAGGACGTTAAAATTAAGTAGGTGGTATGAAATCTGAGACTATCTATACTATGTTACAAATGGGAAATATGAATATTTAACTAATTAATGTTTCTTGAGTTCCTTTCTTAAAAGTATTGTGTACTGTGCTGGAAGCGTATTAGAGTTATTATCAGCTTCGTCTGTTAGTGCAGTGTGCCAGGACTCTAATGTTTTAAGGTTTCTATGATTTCCCTTGTCTATCACTTTAGCATTGGCAAAGTCAATTATATGGTCTTGAGTCCATGCGTGTTTTGCAACATTCGAAAGCTCGTAAAAATAAATATTAAGTCAGAGAACGCTCAACATATAATGTTTCAACCTGGCTACGCATCTTCTATTTTTTCAATCTATTGTGCATGTTTATATTTTATTTCTATAATATAAAAATAAAATTGTAATACTATGAAATAAAATACATTTCTGTTTATTGACCAGTACTTATTTAATGTCTTCTTCATCCAGTGGTCATAGTAAATTTCTACTTCTAGCAAGCAAATATTTGCCAAGCAGTCTGGAATAAGCACATGCCGTACCGAAAATCATGGCGTGACATGAGCGATATTCGGGTCATAAAATTGAGCGAGACATGAGCGATAATGAGCGTGACGATACACAGCGATACACGGCGTGTCGCAAACGTGACATTTTCGAGCGAGACATTGGGCGAGACATGAGCGATAATGAGCGTGACGATACACGAGCGATACACGGCGTTTCTCAAACGTGACATTTTTGAGCGAGACATGAGCAATAATGAGCGTGACGATACACCAGCGATACACGGCGTGTCTCAAACGTGATATTTTCAACCAAATTTCACCGGTACTGAGCCGTACCTTTTTCAGGCCATAATTTTGTCTGGCCTGATTTTGTCTGTATTATGGCTCCACATTTAGGACGGAAATTAAGAAACGCAATCGCATTTACGCAGACAAGTAAAATAACACATATCAATACACGCATACCAAGATAGCACGCAATGCATTAAATCAGGTCAAAAATATAAAGCAAGTTTTTAAAAATTTAGTAAATTAAAAAGCATTGACAGTTACACTTCAAACTTTTGGATAAAATGCATTTGTAAAGTTAGCTTTTGTTCAAGTATTTTTTATGCATATTTTGCTTTTCCGTCAACAGCGATTAAATTACTTTTATATTTCAACTTTCAGGATAAAACCACTTGATTGAAAGAACATCACGCTATTGCAACGAACTTTTGCTTATACTAAAAGCCTTATAGACTTGTTTTAACTAATCTACATTGACACTAGGGGCATTTATATGGGCGAAAATAAGCTGCGGCTTTGAGATGGAAGTCGCGAGCGACTCATGTAAACGGTCAATTTGTCCGCAAGCGGCAGCTAAAATATTAAAGACAACAGGGTTGAAAGCTAGGCCTAAGTCACTATTCGGGTACCCTGGATTCCAGAGCCTTCGACAGTAAATAATAAATTGAAATGTCGCGAAGGCTCTGGTTCAACGGGGCGATTCTTTGATTAAACCGCGCCAATCACAAACAGAATTAGTGGTTTTAGTACAGAATCTGTACTAAAACCACTAATTCTGTTTTGTGATTGGCGCGGTTTAATCAAAGAATCGCCCCGTTGAACCAGAGCCTTCGCGACATTTCAATTTATTATTTACTGTCGAAGGCTCTGGAATCCAGGGTACTATTCGGGCTGCGGTTTCAGACTTAATTTCGCCATTGCATTATATATGACAAATATGAAAATCGGCTTTTAATTTTGGCCTTGAATATTTTGTAGGCCTTTCTATTCTAGCAAATTTCTGTTAAAACGTATAAACATCTAAAGTGTTTTTACCTATAAAAAGATTGTTCGCAATGCATGGTTTTGAAAGCGTAAAGGCCCAAACAGACCGGACGCGATTCGGCAACGCGATGCGAATTTTCAATGACATTTACCTTTACTATTTTTCTATTTTTCTCCTTTTCTTTAATATATTTTTTTTCAAATATTCTTAACCACTTAAGCAATTTTAGCTATTTGGTCTGCATATCTTGTAGAATTTTTATCCATTGACGGTTTTATTTGTTTTTAAACTCTGAAAATTCGCGTCGCGTTGTCGAATCGCGTTCGGTCTGTGTGGGCCTTAATAATTACATTTAAAGTAAATTGTGTATTGCGGTATCACGCGCAAAACTGTAAAGAACAGGTAAACGTTGAGATTAATTACTTACATTTAGAAAAAACTTGAAGACTGTCTCCAATGCATATATTGCCAACGTCTTGAATCTCAAAGTCGCACAGAAACTTAATCGCGAGGGACACTATCATTTGACTTCATGCAACGTCGCCTGGCTGAAGAATTACAGAGAATACAGTGCAATATATAACGATGATCATTGTTGAAAATCCGCAAATTTTCCTTTTTTCGACCGACCGTGTATTGCTCGGTGCTTGAAAGCGATGCGTGTGTATAGCAAAATAAAACCAACTCAAATTGCGCGCCTTGTCATCCGAGACAAATCAAATTAAATTTTTAACGTAACGCTCTTGTCGTGCTCAGTTTCTTTCAATTTTCGCCGGATATGATAATAATCTCACATTTACATGGCACGCAAAGGAATTTCTGTTGCTTGTCTCGCTCTGCCTCGCTATATTATCGTCCATGTTTCGCTGTAAAAGCAGCGTGACAATTGTCTTGTTTGAGCGAGACAATTTGTGTTGCGATGTCACGCTCATTCAGGCCAAATTCTCGGCCATAAACAAGCGATACAAATGTCTCGTTCGTAACAGGCAGCGAGACAAAACCAATGTCTAGTTGTGTCTCGCTCAATTACCGCTGCTTTAATTGGTTTATGGCCAGATACTGGCCAGAATCTCGCTCAGTCAGGCTGTAATATAAAGCTCAACAGCTGGCCTCTGTAGGTCAGTTGGTTAGAGCGCTGCACCGGAATCGCAGGGCCGTAGGTTCAGTTCCTACCAGAGGACCTTGTGCTGCATTTTTCGCAGTTGTTCCTGGTTAGGTCTTAAAATGTATATATTCTCACTTGGATTACAAACCCTAACATTCTAATATTAATTCCACCAAGTGAAGTGCAAGAATCCAAATTATTGAAGTCCATCTTATCTAACCCGCACACCCGATTACCTAAATATACATGAACTTATGGTTAAAGCTCAACAGCTGGCCTCTGTAGCTCAGTTGGTTAGAGCGCTGCATCGGAATCGCAGGGCCGTAGGTTCAATTCCTACCAGAGGACCTTGTGCTGCATTTTTCGCAGTCGTTCCTGGTTAGGTCTTAAAATGTATGTATTCTCACTTGGATTACAAACCCTAACATTCTAATATTAAGTCCACCAAGTGAAGTGCAAGAATCCAAATTATTGAAGTCTACCTTATAACCCGCACACCCGATTACCTAAATATACATGAACTTACGGTTAAAGCTCAACAGCTGGCCTTTGTAGCTCAGTTGGTTAGAGCACTGCACCGGAATCGCAGGGCCGTAGGTTCAATGCCTACCAGAGGACCTTGTGCTGCATTTTTCGCAGTCGTTCCTGGTTAGGTCTTAAAATGTATATATTCTCACTTGGATTACAAACCCTAACATTCTAACATTTGAAATTAAGGATTTGGAGGTTTTGCGATCACTGATACCTTGATAATAATATAAAACAAAACACTTCTATCTGCAACTTTTACAATCACTGATAAATTGATAATAATTTAAACCAGTCAAGCTGTAGTTTGAATAGAGAATAATACATGGGTGCACGAAATACAAGATTTATTTCGAGTGTTGAACATGAGTGTGCAGCGAACAAGTGAGCGCAGAAAACGAGTGAGATGCCATGTTCAACACAAAAAATAAATCTGGTATTTCCAACCACCCATGTATTTTTCTGTTTATTATATAAAGGACAGTCTTTAATGAAAAGCGATAATGTTTACAGAAAAGCGATAATTGAAAAGGCGATAAATTTCACATGTGAGATTATCATGAATAATTTCACATGTGAGGTTATCATTTTTATCAGTGCTCGAAATTTCTGTAAAACACTATACTTTATATAATCTATAGTATGATGCACAATATTTTGGGAGGTGATCGAAATACACGAATAATAAATCAGAGAGTGTTTTCTTGGAACTCAATGGGGGTGGGCGGGGGGAAGCAACACCCCTGATTATTGGTCATGAGGAATTTCAAGTAGATTTCCAGTGCACTTTTAGTACGTACATTTAAGTAGATTTGCAGAAGATTTTCAGGGGAATTCAGGTAATTCTCAGGACATGACTGAGAAAGTGAATTTGGAAAACAACTGTATTTTCGGAAAAAATTATTATATGTCCTGAAAATTTTTTGTACATCTGGAAACATTTTGGTAACCCCCCCTCTATCTAACCTCACCTCCCCCCCCCACCCCCGAGACGATGTGCTCGCAACGCCACTGAGTATATATCTTTTGAAAACAGGCGAGGGGTTATTGCATGCATGTATTTCTAGTTAGAGTATCGGTGACTCACTCAAGTCCAAGCAGCTTGTGGGCAACATTTTTGTTTTTGCCATGTAACTATGACATCATATACTATACGTGTAAAACTATATAGTTTTACATAGTTCTGAACAGTCAATGGCAAAATGATATCTATTTTTAAGATTCTTCCCTTGATGAGTATTGAGTAAAACATCTGGATTTAATCTCACAGATTGAGTGAAATAAGAAAGTAGCCAGGATTCATTGCAGCTGAATGGGCTGACTATATATCTCAGGGGCTGCTCATTTACAAATAGTGTAATTAACTCAGTGCGTGGCAGCAGGGAGCAATATATCTCAATCCCCTTAAAATCGTTTGGCATTAGACAGAGTAAAATAATATAAAGACAGCTAGTCTTTAGGATTCGTCAGGACAGCTAGGGCACATGCATTGTCACATGCAGGTGGCCCTCCTCTATGGCTCAACTCTCTTCGGTCTTTTGCTTATCTATATATACTAATTCTGCACTGCGATGGGCAAGTATATAAATTTCACACCATATATATTTAATAAACGTTTTAAAATATATGAACCTCGGTATATGAACATGTAAACAAATAAACAACCACAATTTTTAGTATGAATTAAAAACTGGCAAACCACAAAGGCCAGTGCTGACAAAAAACAACATAATGTTAACAATATTTTATGTCCCCTATTGAAATATTTGCAGTATATGTTAGGACGATGAGTTTTTGACATAATATGAAGGGTCTAGTGACTCTAGGCTGTAGCCGTCTAGAAAGTTATAAAAAAGTTTCGTGAATCTTACCTGAAAGAGTTAGTCTTTCTTTGTAGTGAAATGCTGCATCCACAAGCGAAACAAACCCGCACCCTCGCTCCGCGTTGTAAAACAAGTAATGTTCGAGGGAAATATTAAGATTTTTGCTCAAAAACAACAGAAAACTTGAAATATCTTATTGATATAATAATATATTTATGCAAAAACCAGGGGGGTTGAGGACATCTTCGAAAGCTTAGGATCGCGGTTGGTCAGTGGCAATTACCATGAAAATAAAGTAAGTGTTGTCATGGAAATGGCGTAATAGCCGCCATGTTTTCGGCTCCACTTTTTCATCCCGAGCAGGTCCTCCAGTAATATAGTATAGCTCAGTGGTGCTCACTCACGTGTACACTTATGCGGTAAGTTTGTGAACTTTTTAAGCCTTTATTTAACTTTGAACTTTAGATTTTCCAGGATGCCTGATAAATCTAATCGTAAACGTCTTCGTAGTGATCGTTGTGGTCTGGTCCACTCGTGTAACTGCCATTGAGGCAAAATTGAACGAAAACTCTGGTGCAACGTCCCAGTATTCCGGCGAATTCGACGATGATCAACTATCAATTCACCCGTCAGACTCGCCGAAGGAATTCGACAATATAAATATTGTTGTCAACAATCCCGCCTTTGAGGCTCCTTTAGCTGGCTCTTTGCCACCTTTAGACGGCGTTGAGCCGACAAATATAAACGAAATCACTAACCCGAACGTTGTCGTTTCTGAGGAAGGAACTTAATGCGAGTTCTTTGACCCTGAGAGTACGTCTCAGCGACGATGGTCTCCTTCAGACCTCTTTGGCAAATTTCTTGAGATAAACATGCGTAGATGCCTAACTTTAGAACAAGTTAACGAAATAATCGGAGAAAGTTCTCTCCCCGAAACTGAAGCATGTGTTGCTCCTTTACTGGACAAACAGATTCTGAATTATATTCCCTCCAGCCGCAAAAAATTCGTCGAACAACGAGACAAAGACTTGGCGCTCATTCAACGCGCATTACTAAACTCGGCAGGTCCTCTTTGTTGTCTACATGACCGCCTCGAAAATCAGGACAAGATTTCTAATGAGGAACTGTTAAAACCCTTCAACAATCACTGTGTTTGTTGGGTTCTGCTAACCACATAGTGAGAACTAATCGCCGGTTGAAAATTTTGGGAGCGATTAATCCTGATAAAGCACAACTAGCTGATCGTGACTTCCCTAATGCGGGAAAATGCTTTTTGGGTGGAGATTTCCCCTCCCTAGCAGCCAAGTATTCCGAATTATCTCGGAGCATTGCAAAAAACGTGCAAAAGCAACCTTACAGTGCAAAACCTCACAGTTTAGAAGGCAGTCCTGCGGCGTTTGTCCGCCCAGCGAACAAGTATAACTATTCAGAACCTAACCAGGTCAGGTCAGCGAGGTCAGGTCAGCGAGGATCATTTTCCACTAATACTAGACCTTCGAATGTTCGCGGCAAGCGGGCCCAGTCAAACCGCAGCTGGTCCTGCCAATAACTCAGCGAACGGGCACGACTTCCCCATTTCCTCCGTCAGTGGTAAAGTATTAGACAGATTTAGAAAAGACGACGCGACCTAGCCTCAAAGACGACGTGGATGGCGTCATTTGGCGCCAACTATCGTCAGTTTCTGATTTGCCACGTCGTCTTGGACAATTTCACGACGCGAAAATTCAATTCTCACGTGCTCTCTAGAACGTCACAGATTTATGCTTCTTTTGAAAAAAATATGAGAGTATGCATGATAAAAATCATCCTATTTTGTTCCCCAAGTATTGTTTAATGATTCTAGTTAATTAAGGGTTTTTCATTGACAAGGTTGTTTTTCTTGTATTTCGCTAAATTTTGAACGTGTTAATTTTTTACAAATACTTTCGGTCGCCATAACAAATCAACAAAACTGCAAGCATTGTTAATAACCACTTCAATACCGCTAGTATTCTTCACCAAAACAAACATTTTAGAACAAACTGAAGTGAAGTTATATTAAAAACTGTTTAAAATCAGGAAAACTTGGGAAGATAGAAAAATAAAAGCAATTAAAAGCAGTAAAAACTCAATCAATTTTAGTTGCTGTGTCACAACAGTCTTAAACAGTACTAAATTTTACCAATATAAGCACTGATGCCTTATTTATACTAAACAGTTGACAAACTTGATTGAATAGGCTACAAACTAAAGCATTTAGCTCGTAAACAATACCTGCAGCTATAGTATTTATTCCACATGATGCAACAAAGTTCACTTTTCAAAGTACCGAAATATACGTCTTTTTCTAAAAAGACTTATTGAATGTTCATACTAATTCATCAGAAAACACTTGGTCAGTATTATATAGCCTTTTCTTGCACATAACTTGACAACAGATTGAAAACAATACACGAATGAGCAGGGAACAAGAAAACAAAAATTTGCTTCGAAAAAGACAAACAAGCCGTCCCAGATTAAAACCCGGAAGTGAACGCGAGGTGTACACGTCATTTTCACGTCGTCTTTGAGGTCGCGTCGTCTTTTCTAAATCTGTCTATTACTCAAGACCAACAGGTCTTAGAGACCGTTTGGGGTTATCAACTAAATTTTTGCTCGAAACCGTGGCAAAAACTTATCCCGCGAACAACGCCCACGGCATCAAGTCCGTTGATTTTGCGACAGCACACGAATATAGTGATAAACCTGCTCCAAGATCTGGGGTTCATAATCAATTTCGAGAAGTCAATTCTGACACCAACCCAGATACTAAAGTTCCAAGGATTTATAATCAATGCAGTAACTATGAAGTTTTATTTACCTCCGGAGAAGATAACGAAGACTTCTCCTGTGCAAATCCTTGATGAAGGAAAATCCAACATCCTTACATCTGCTATCTCAACTGTTGGGCTTCCTATATAGTCTTGTCGACCAGCAGTATGGCTTGCTTCACTCCATTTTCGGCACCTTCAGTCGTTGCTGATCGAGCAAGTAGCGTTGAACAATGGGGGTTATAACGGTACAGTCCACCTGAGCAGACCGGCATTAGGCGAACTGCAATGGTGGATTCTGAATATCCATCAGGTCCATGGAAGTCCAATTCGTCACCCCTCATCCGAAATGATTATGACATCGGATGCCTCCAAGATAGGCTGGGAGGCCACTTGTGGCAATATTTCAACCAACGGACGTTGGCCACACGAGGAGAATCTCCTTCACATAAATGTCCTTGAACTGAAGGCAGCATTTCTTGCCATACAATCATTCCTGAAACACCAATCAAATATAGTAGTGAAACTTCGCCTGGACAATACGACAGCGGTCTCATACATCAACAACCAGGCCGGACCCGCTCTCCAAAGTTAATGTGTCTGACTCTAGAGCTGTGGAATTGGTGTCTACGACACAATATATTTCTGAAGGCGGAATACCTTCCAGGTGTCCAGAACTTCCAAGCGGACAGAGAATCGAGGGTGTTCATCGACTCGAGCGATTGGAAAATACAATCGGAGGTTATATAGCCTTTTCTCAACGACAGGGATATCGACCTGTTTGCCACCAGATTGACGAATCAACTGCCACGTTATGTAATTTGGCGCCCAGATCCCCTGGCGCCCAGATCCGCTTACGCAACAGACGCGTTTACAGTGGATTGGAGTACCATGAGGGGATATGCATTTCCCCCATTGAATCTGATTCCTCGAACACCAATGAAATTGAGAGACGACAATGCAACTCTACTTTCAGTAGCACCAATTTGGCAAGCACAACATTGGTGGCCCCTGTTACTACAGCTGGCAATAAGTTAAGCCTACCAGTTCCTCTTCCATTGTCTCAAACTCTCCTGGAGAATCCGTCCAATCTAGGGGGCACTCATCCAATGTATCCAAGACTCCGGCTAGCCGTCTGGGTCATCTCCAACAACGCTGCTTAGCAGAAGGCATTCCGGGTACAGTTACCCGACTGTTGTTTTCAGCCACACGACAGTCGACAAACAAAGCCTATGACTCCGCATGGGGAGAGTGGAGTAGCTGGTGTGATATAAAGGCAAATTGATCAAATTTCGGAAAATATCAGAGATATTTTAGTCTTCTTAAGCGACCAATTTGACAACAAATTGCAATACCGTACCATAAACGTCCTTCGTTCTGCCATATCATCTGTACATCCATGGATTGATGGCAAGCCGGTTGGACAACACCCTCTGCTTATCCGACTAATGAAGGGCATTGCCAATGAACGACCTTCAAAGCCAAGATATTCATCATCCTGGGATGTGTCCAGGGTAACTTCATATTTATCTTCACTAGGGCAGGGCATTTTTTAACTATATAACTGGGGGGGCCAAAGCCCCCCCAGCCCCCATGGTGGCCCCCCCACTCAACCATTTTGGCCCCCCCCAGTCAAAGTCCCTTTTCTCTAAAATATAAGCAAAACATGGAATTTAGAATGGGAGGTTTGATATTCTAGTAACTGAAATTTGCTTTGTGAATCTTATGTCCTTTTTTTTATGTTTAATAAATACCTTAGATTTAAAACATTTCCCAGGCAGTGGATTGCATTTCCCAGACCTTATAGATTTGAGTTGTTGGACAAATTAGTGACCGCAGGGGGCAACAGGCCCTCAACCAAGTGTTTTATAAGGGGGGGGGGGAATAATTTTGGCCCCCCACCAAAAAAAAACAATTTGATTTCGAAACTAGAAGTATTTGAAATCATATATACATATAATCAAATATCTGTAATCGATATTTTGATAACATTTCTCGTAATAATCCATCCTGACTCGCGGATATCATAGACTCACAAATTATAATGAACGAATTAATGACGTATACAAGACTTTGAAAATGCCATTTCCGACGATTTAGAGACGCAAAATTTTCAATTTTTTTCGCTCTGTGCCAACCATGGTGGCGCTTCGTGGGAGTCGGGAAGTCTAAGTTTATCAAGCTGGCTCCCTAAGTGACGGCCAAGTTGTGGTATCTACATAAACATACTATGAAGTACTTAACTGAAGGTTCAGTCTATCTACAGCATAATGTAATGCTGTATATCCAAAAATCTGTTTCAGAAAATGCAGGGAATTGCAGTCATAGGGGTAGAAAAATACAAAAATTTTCTGGGAGAGAAAACCCCAATATATCGTTAATTAAATACACCTTCGCCCATTTAGTACTACTGAATTCTAAATTTCCACATACTAAAAACGCTGTTTTCTGACAATCAGAAATCTGTCAAATCTTCTCCAAAGTCCAGGAAATGGCATTTCAGAGACTCTAAGTTTAAAAATTTCCTCGGGCCTTCGGCCCTCGCTTTCAGCCCCCCCCCAAACGAAAAGAGCTTCCTACGGCCCTGCTCTCTCCCCTCCCCCCACTATTAAATGCGATACCACACCAAACTTTTTGTTACCAACAAACCATCTATCATTGCTCCACACTCGGTATAGTATGGTCCCTTTTTGTAGATGCCCCCCCCCCCACTGACGAATTCTTAAAAAATGCCCTGCATGTTCATGTATGATATTTTAGTGTATTTATGGACGAAAGTGTCTTACTGCATGGTCCGTTGTGAGATCTTCGTCTACATGTTTGAAAGAATGACACTCATACTGAATGCTGGGGAGAAAATGTTCAGAAAAGTACAGTAGAGTATACCGATTCGATACCGCAAATTGTTCAAATTTCCACTCGATATAGTTCCGTTCTTTTCCTTTTCCATAGTTTCACCAATCTCACCAATCTTACGATTCAAAGGAAATTAATACACCGATGCTGAAAAACTATACTTCTGAATTAAACATCATGTCTTTTATACTCCCCAACAGTAATTTGGAAAGACTTCTGTCCTATTCAAAATCAGATTGTTATACAGGGTGGCAAAAATTTGTGCAGATGCACTATAATATTCTAAGCGAGACGAGGCAGCATTATAAGCTAGTGTGCACCCATGCACCTATTCGTCCATTAAATGCATCCTCGTTTGTCTCTCCTTACCATTCGTTATATTACTCCCAGAGATATCCGATCTCTCAATTACCATATAAGATATGCATTCGCCAACAAGAGTAATTATAATTTCTATTCTATGAAATTACTGGAATATTGGCTTTATTCCCCATAGACAGGAGACATTCAAACAGTTTGCTTGCTTGCTGTCAATTCGTTGTCAAACAAGTTGTTTAAAGATTCTGCAAAAGTAAATAATTGGATACAAAAGTAAGTTGTCCTTCCTTATTTCTTTGATGTCCCCCTACCTCCTCCGCAGGCGCTTAGGGAGCATTTCGGGCAGGTTCGGAAAATGCGGGTCACAGGCGAGAGCGCCTGCCGAGTAATGTTTTCAAGATGGCGGGTGCTATAAATCGAAATTTTCATTTTGACTTTACTAATTACTATTATGACTTAATATACAACATACATACCAGCACTGATTTAATAGATCTAAATAATATTTAGAAATAGCATCCAGTGGTCTTGGTAGACTAAAAAGTACTTATAACTAGCCACCGCTTTTCGATGCCGATGGAGACTGTTTTATAAAGTGTTTATACAATGCAAATACAACAATAACAACATCAACGATATTACATGCATCTACATATTTTGCTACTAAGCCTATGATAAGCCATTTCAAATACTTTAGATATGATTCAAACATCAGTCTGCATGAAACAGTAAAAGCACAATTTGAAAGATGGATATGGTGAAAAACTGAAAATATATTTGCATATTAAAAAATACATTCACAATGTATTAAAATAGAAGTAATATAGCGTCTCATTGTTCGCTTGTTCTTTGTCTTTTGAGTGATAATAACACAATGTCTGCATGTAGAACTCCATTACCACAAAAATCTACATACCAAGTCCATTTCAAAAGACGATATATTGAGAGTATCGACATCGCTGCCGTCGAACGACCAGCATAACTTATGTCAATATGTCATATGCCCAAAAATACTGTTTCATGTTTCAGCGGATCAAATTTCTTCAGAATGTAATTCGAAACAAATCAGAAGGCCCAGAAGATAAAAGACGTCATGTCGCGGATGGTGGGATGTGGATGAACAGCAGATCTTGGTGCACTTTAAACTTAAATAATATTTCTCTGTATTTTCTGCGTTCTCGTATAAATATGACGCCGGTCGTATATCGATTTCTTTCTTTATTTGCCGTATTTCCATTTGATATTTTTGTCAGCAAGTCCAGAATTAATCCAGCTTACGTGAGAAATTAATTTGAACTAATGATGGACGAAATTTCAAAGAGATTTTTTTGGATTCCCGATTTTCGACACATATTCCCGATTTTCGACACATTATATGGCAGGCCCTTCGCGCTTCGCTTCAAGTTCTAAAAGTGGCCCGCAAAAATTTGCACCGCCCGCAAATGTGCCCGGAAAAAGGGCCTGCGGAGGAGGTAGGATGTCCCCTCAGTTGGAAGTTGCATATATGCATGATTAAATCTTCGAACTTTTAAGCTTGTTATTTGGCTTTCTGTATTTTACTAGAAAATACATGCATGCAGAAACCCTCGCCTTACTGACAAAACCATTGTATTTTCCGAAAATAACATGAAGTATTTAAAGTAGTTGTCATGGTAACACGATAATTTTATCAAGAATATTTTTAAAATCGAAAAATCCCCTAAAATATCACTTTTAATTACAAAATTATCAATTCCCGAAACATATATATGTTAGGTATGTAGGATATTATTGAACTGTGTAGGATATTATTGAACTAAATAATTCAAGAATAGCTAAAAGCCATTTGCCAATATAAATGGATTCAGAATTTTTATTAACCCACAGCGAAAAGTGTGAATTTTATTTATCGCTCCCTCAACTAGCGGACGGTTTATAAGAAAAAGTTGTTCATTCTTTTGTAGTGCATTTTTATTTGAAATAGACTTATTCCAACACCTCTAATGTTTCAGTTACCGTGATTTGCTGGATAGATGGGGGCTATGGCATCAAAGGTGAGCAGACCAACCCAACTCTCAACCACTCACCGCTTGCGTGTTGGGTATAGGCTAATAGCATGGTTTCCAGTGCAATTTGGATAAAACATGCACGAGTGATTTTTCAAAGACAATATCAAAATATCAAAATAGCATGCACGAGTCCGAAGAACGAGTGCTGGTTGAAGTCTTTGAAAAACTCACGAATGCTTGGTTGATCCAAATTGCGCAAGAAAACATGCATTACCTACTAATAATATCCAGGAAAAATTGTTCAGAACTTCACAATTCAAATGTGACTCGAACGTTTCGAACTCACTTAAGACGTTGACATGGAACAGTTGCATGTGCATGAATGGGACGGGAATTCGAAAATGGTAATTTTTGAAGCAACCGATCAATTCTTTCATCCTTGTTTATGACGTAGTAGATAATCCATATACTGTCAACCTATTTAATGTGACCGAGAGAGGTATAGTACATGCATGTAATACTATATGCAGTTTTGTTATCGCGAGGCTATTCATATTTGAAAATATAATGCTTTCTCCAAACCGCAGTAAATACAGCAAACTAGTGCTTTATTATCATACCATATGTCAAGGAATCATGCAATGCATTAGTAGAAATGATAAATAGAACCATGCAATTCGATCAAATTGAGTTATATTGTAATATCTTTCTTTGTCTTATAGGAGGCAAGGCGTTTTAATAGGTGACCTTTGAATTTTCCTTACAGGTGTTATCGTATCATTCTGTTTCTATTTTTATAGAGCTGAATTTGATATCTACCACAGTACCAAGGCTGCAGGTGTTCCGATAGAGTCGCAGCAAGTCCTTGTTAGCTGTACATTTTGTGGTAATTCCATCTTAGCAAAGAATCCAGTTTCTCAGGCTGGGAGAAAATTGCGATATCTTACACCAAGAGAAATCCCCACGAACAAAGTGAAGGTAAGTGTTTCAATTCTATTTTACAGAATCATCCTATAAGAGATATGAAAAACATTTCACTTTCAATTCTCGTTGGCTCGACAGATTAATGGATAGAACGGCAGTTCGACTCTAATGGATTTCATAGACGATATGTATGCAAATATAAGGCGGGTTCAACGGAATGAGCTGAAAATTGACGGAAATGTAATAACTGATATACCGCGGGTGTCCCAGAAAATAAGTCGTGCTGTTTGATTTAATATAACAAAAAATGTAGAACAGGTAATATTACTTTCAATATTTTTATTTCCATTAAAGAAAACCTAACTAAAATTGTGGTATATATCACTTTAACTAATCCTGCAAAATGTCATTAGGTAAGCACAAAAATGGCATCAAACGCCTTATTAAACTAATCTGAATACATGTAATTGACATTCGTTCGCTTGATTATTGTATTGCTTACTTGATGAAGTTATAACTTTTAAATTTCAAATTATTTCCTTTAAATTTACAATTTGTTAATTTGCCTTGGTCTAGACGAACTACTTTTTCCAGATGACTACCTTTTTTCATGCAGTTGAGACAATATTGATTTTTGAAACAATTGACAAATATGTTAAAATCACATTTTTAGCTAATCCTTGCCAAGCATGCCTGTATAGTGAATTCTCCAATAATATATAATAATTTATTCAACATTTCGCAATGCGTGATTTTTCCTGCAATATTGTCTCTAAATGTGCATTTTTAGCGAGGAAAGTTGCGCGCGTTTATACATTTCTGGGGCCGGTTGTATAAAAAAGTGATTAAAGTTAACTATGATTAAGTGCAAACGACATCCAATAAGAATTGCCTATTTGAGAGTTAATCACTATTGAACTACAAAATAGTGATTAAAAAAGTGATTAAGAGTTTTATACAACCGGACCCTGGCAAATATTCCTCATATTAGAAATAATTGGCCATTCTATTGCTAAATAGAATGTCATACACAATTAGCTCTGGAGCGCGTGTTTAGTGCTGTACACTATGCATTCTTTTTACTGTTCTGAACATTGCACAGTAAATCGCTATGTATACCCGCTGAGCAATAATATCATTGCATGTATGGTGTTTTTGGGACAGTCAAGAATTTTCGCACGCTTTTGTTTTGCTTTACGATGATTTATTTATTTATAACAAATTAGGTTTCATTTTATAGACCATGAGTTCAATATCGTATTAAATTGAAAATAGTAGGCCTATTGCATGATATTATCATTTTCACATTTCTGTGTTCGCGGTTTCCGTCCTGTACAAGTGCATTAGCAGCGTGACAGGGCAAAATACGCCATGGTCAAAATAATATAATGAAAACTAGAGTATAATATACGGTATAAATGAAGCATGTCATGCATGTGCAAAATATGTTATATTTTAAATGAAAATGGAATTATTATATATTAAGTAATACAAGATCCTTCGCATGCATTTAGTCTGTGAGTGCCTAAATGTTTTCAGTTGGTGAATTAAAACCAATCTTTTTATCTTACTTCAAAGGACTGTAATGGATACTTTTCTATCTAAAAGTAGATATATACACGATACGATAAAGTATCTCGCGGGCAACGGAAATATTTTGACGGTAAAGAATTTATTGTGAAAGTCACAAGCACGCGGAATCAGCCGGAGGGGAAGTAATGAAACGATTAGGATTGTTATCTGGTATTAGAAACTCTCTAACACTTGGGGCAGCAAAATGTGTCTATAACACTATAATACAACCAATATTTGACTATGCTGATATAAGTTGGGGAGCGATGTTACAAACGTGCAATACTGAAATGCAAAGACTTCAAAATAGCGCGGCACGTATTGTTGTTAAAAGTAATCGAACAGGAAATTGCTTCTCTTCGTTCAAGTGGCTCCATCTTTCGACAAGGAGGAAAGTTCATGGATGTATTTTAATTTATAAAATTTTAAATGGTATTGCACCAACTTATCTTGATAATTATTTTGTCAAAAACGTTAATATTCATAATTTCAATACAAGACGTAAGGAAAATTTTGTATTGCCCAGAGTAAATAGAGAACTTGGTAAGAAAACGTTTAGATTTCAAGGTGCAAAAGATTATAATGAGCTACCAACTGAAATTAAGAATTATCTAACCTTAGCTAGTTTTAAAAGTATAGAATTAAGCAACATTATATAACTGTAAATATGTTGGAATTAATTTGGATTAGACATAGGATTGCATAATTTATGTATTTAGCTAATAATATATGCAGGGCCCCTATGGAATACCAGCTTAACAGCTGAATGTGCTACCCTGCTAAAATAAATTCACAACAACACAAGACAGTCAAATTATTCAACTTCCTGTGAAATCGAATTTCTGATGTATTTGCAACTTTCCGTTTGCGGATGAGGGGAGGGTATTGAAGAGTGCCAACGAGGAAATGTATTGAATCGGTGGTTTCCGCATGTAATAATTCTTTCTATTATATTATAATGGCGTGATTTTACCAAATAAAGTCACGAGAACACGAAAAATCTGAGCGGATTACACGGTAAAAAGCCGTATTACCCTCGTCTAAACTGGTCTTTCCAGGTTAGGACGAAGCAAAACCGACTTTTTGAGTGAAAAACACATGCACTATTGAAAAACACTATAGGTTAAAGCCAACTTCGGACCCCACTCCTGACTCGAATATAATGTTACGAACACTTATTAAACAGTAAACGCTTTCCAAACTATCTTTGCATTTTCCAAAATTCAATTTTTTGCTATTTTTCTCTCATTTTGCAGATTTTGTGCTAATATAAAAAATATAAATAAACGTTTTAAAAATGTTTGAATGGCTTTATGCTATCTGTAAAATAAGTCGAAAAAAATTATATTTGAGAAAAAAGCAACATGTAAAATCACGCTTAAAGCGCGAAAACTGTTTCCATAGAAAAACTCGTCAACACATAAACAATCATTTTCAAAAAATCTTGCTGACCATGAATTTTTTTCTGCAAAAATAGAGGATACGGACTACCAACAATAGACCTTTCCAAGGTTTCTACCGCCATATTGCAGGGGGTGCAAAAACATTGGGGCGAGCGCGCGGCCACCAATGGCGCCCATACTATTTCCTATTGAGTGAGTGAAAATTACCTTTTGACATTTTGTCCTTTTTCTCAAAAAAATTCTATACAAGCATATCCAATTTTTATTTTTAGATAATCTCTGGTTTTTTTCTGATATGTGGCCGAGATTTCTTGCTAATCGAAGGACAAGAAGTAATAAAAAACGGCGGCTTTTATTGTACAACTTGACCGACATTTGAGCGATGATTTTTGTACAAATATACAAATATAAACAGTAATAATGGCGGACACCAAAGGACTTACACACTTAATGGACAAATATTCTTCCAAAGATTGGTTAAACAAACGAAATAACAAGAATCATCGCTCAAACGTCGGTCAAGTCAGTGTGCAACAAAAGCCGCCGTTTTTTATTACTTCCTGTCCTTCGATTAGCAAGAAATCTCGGCCACATATCAGAAAAAAACCAGCGATTATCTAAAAATAAAAATTGGATATGCTTGTATAGAAATTTTTTGAGAAAAAGGACAAAATGTCAAAAGGTAATTTTCACTCACTCAATAGGAAATAGTATGGGGGCCATTGGTGGCCGCGCTCGCCCCAATGTTTTTGCACCCCCTGCAATATGGCGGTAGAAACCTTGGAAAGGTCTATTACGGATAAGCAAATTACAATACATTATCTTGGAAATACGAAAATATAGATGCACCTTATTAAGCAGCATAAAATTTTAAAGACAATGAGATGCTCCAATTAAAATATACAATTTCCGAAATATACCTACGATTTTTGAAACCCTGTATATCTCGAATATATTTAAAAGTTTAAACTGCAGAGACTGGTGGCCCAAAGTATCAGAATTTCTGATACTTTTCAAATCCTTTATATGTGAAATATACTTAAAACTGCAGAAACTGGTATTCCAAATTATCAGAAATTCTGATACTTTTGAAATCCCTGTATCTCAAAATACTTAAAACTGCAGAGACTGGTAGTCCAAAGTATCAGAAATTCTGATACTTTTGAAATCCTCTGTATCTCAAAAATACTTAAAACTGCAGACTGGTAGTCCAAAGTATCAGACACTCCGATACGTTTGAAATCCTCTGTACTGTATGTTAAATATACTTAAAGGATTAGTGTCAGGGTCATGCATTGCGGGCTTTTGTTGTTGTTTACATTTTACTCAAATACAACAAATAGCGATAAGAATACCTTGTTTGGTACATTTCTGATAAGAATCAGACAAAAAGACAAGGATTATAAAAGGATGTTTAAATATATGACGGATTGTACACACTTTCCAGATCATCTAGTCTATTCGTCCGGAAAAATGGCCGCCAACAGGAGTTTGAGCCCGCGAATTCCTGGTGTGACACTAATCCTTTAAACTGTAGAGTCCAAAGTATCAGAAATTCTGATACGTTTGAAATCCTCTGTATCTGAAATATACTTAAAATTACAGAAATTCTGGTACTTTTGTAATTCTCTGTATTTGAAATTTACTTAAACTTGCAGACCGGTAGTCCAAGGTATCAGAAATTCTGATACTTTTCCAATCCCGTATATGTGAAATATGCATAAAACTGCAGAAGCTGGTAGTCCAAACTCCAAGGTAGCAGAAATTCTGATACTTTTGAAATCCTCTGTATGTCAAATATACTTAAAACTGCAGAGACTGCACGATAGCCCAAAGTATCAGAAATTCAGATGCTTTCAAATCCCCTATATGTGAAATATACTTAAAACAGCAGAAGCTGATAGTCCAAAGTATCAGAAATTCTGATACTTTTCAAATTCCCTATACGTGAAATATACTTAAAACTGCAGAAACTGGTAGTCCAAAGTATCATGAATTCTGATACATTTTTGAAGTGATTGGACGACGTGAAATAATGCTCGTACATAGCTTCAATCACTGTTGCGCCTTAAACTGCATTTTTCGCTTGCAGTATCACCAATTTAAAAAGTATTTTCGAAGTTCTTGGTTATAGCGATGAAGAGTTGAATAAATCTGTTGTTTAGTATACTATTTCTTCATTTTATTTACCTTTTTAAATAAATTTTAATCGGCGTATTTCATATAATCGACTCAAAACAGCTTTAAATTCTTGTTTGTGGCAGACGAAAATTTAGTTGGTTGAGAAAAACATGATTGACAGGTTTTCTACGTTTCTGATATTTTATCCAATCAAATATGCACATGGATATATCTGACTCAGGAGTGAGCGTCAGTGTCATACTGTCAACTTTCCTCATCCTGCCGTCAAACTGCCCTGTGGGAGGTAACCGGACCACCCGAAGAAAACCCACGAGTTTCGGCAGAGCGTTGACTAACTTTTGTCACATGGATGGGCAACTAGCCTGCGAACAGGCCCTGGGTTACGTGCGGCGCGAAGAATAGAGGGCCTGCACGGAACTATAGGTTTTCTTGGTAGTGGCGTTCGTATAGAAACGCAGGCTTCTGATTGGCTTACACTCGTTGACAAAATTAC